CCCCAAGAATGTTACTCTAACCCCAAGAATGTTACTCTTGCTATCTCATCCATAAACAACACACTCCCAGTTAAATATCTTTTAGTTCCCTAAATCCAAGGACATTCCAAAATTAACACCTATATCTTAAGATTTTGTTTTACAGACCTTGGTGCAGACTCCCTGTCTACATGATTGATTACCTGAAACTCAGGCTACTGGTGTCCTGAACAGCTAATCACCATGGCAATGACAACCCCTTCCCACCATCACGTTCCACAGGAATGCCCTTTTGGCCACTTGATCTTAGTATCTGGCCATTCCTCTCTCTCAGGGAACTCAATAAACTCTTTTCTTCTAACTTTCTCTATGTAAATCTTTGCTAACTTGTGGTACTTGACTTAACACACGGAATAGTTTTGCAGTAAAAAGAAAAGTACTTAACCATATCTTAAAGAAACAAAACATTACTTTCAATCAGCTGCTTTACAAACCTCTTGCATAGCATGTAGCCAATTTCCTTTTGCAAACTTCTCCATGTCACATAGGCAATTCCCCTGACCCACACTAGACTCCAATACCATCTTATAAATACTTCTATTTAGCCCCTGCTTTTGGCAGACAGCAAATTCTCTCTGCTGCTCTGCCCATGTACCCTTTACAGCGTATCTTCCCTTTAATAAGTCTACCCTTCCTAATTCATAACAGTCTTGGCGAATACTTTCATCCCTGTGACCCGTCCATACCTAGCCCTATACATGGCCAAGTCCCACAGGACTGTTCCCACTACAGATGCCAGTTGCAAGTACTGTACTAGGCTTCTCATACTTCTGACCAACAGGCTACAAGTCACAGGGGTTCCCATGACTCCTTGCTCAGGTTCAATAATTTGCTCACAAAACTCAGAAAAACAATTTACTGCTATTTATTGCATTATTTATTGTAACGGATACAGCTTGGGAATAGCCAAATGGAAGAGATGCATAAGGGAAGATATGGAGAGAGGGGTGAAAAGCTTCCACAGCCTTGCTGAGCACACTACCCTCCCAGGACCTTGATGTGTTCACCAACTTGGAAGCTCTCTGAATTCTGTCACTTAGGGATTTTTGTGGAGGATTCATTACATAGGCATGATTGGTTAAATAACTGGACACTGATAATTGAACTCAAACTTCAACTTCTCTCCCTTCCTCTCTAACTATAGTTGGTTCCTCTGGATACCAGCCCCCATCATGTAGCTATCTAGGGGCCAACCAATGGTAAGCTTAGTAGCCTAAACTCAGGTATGGCTGGAAGGATCTCATTAGGAATAAAAAAAGACACTAAAATTCAGGAAATTCAGTGGTTTTAGGAGCTGTGCCAGGAACCAGGGCCAAAGACATACATGTTTTATTATACCGCATAAACAACTCTAACAACTTATATACAAAACAAACAAACAAACAAACAAACAAAAACAAAACAACCTGCAAGGACAGAACCCAAAATGGAGTTCCCTTGCCTCCTTCAGTCAGACAATAATCGTTTCCTGGAATCCTGGGCGAATTGCAGGACATCGAGATTAACATCTCCTAAAAATTTGTCTTTCAGTTATCAGCCCTGCCCTTCTCATCTATGTTACTGACCCGTCCACCTACCTGCCATCCACGTCCATCATCTTGATGTCATTTCCTATGAATATTTGCTTGCACTGCTGCACAAAAGAAGTTTTAAAGACCCCTAGCCTCAAGCACTTGCTGCCACAATTCCTTCAAACATTTGACCCTTTCTCTCCCTTGAAAAGTGAATCCATTCTTTTCTCTGATCTACTTTCTGAATAATCTTTCCTAATCTAATTTCTGTGCAATTCTTTGTATATCCATGGTACCAGCACTGGCCCACTGACCAAATATAACCTGATCAAAAAATGGGCAAAAGACTTGAATAGACATTTCTGCAAAGATGATACAGAAATGGCCAACAAGCATATAAAAAGATGCTTACCATAACTAGTCTTCAAAGAAATACACATCAAAACCACAATGAACACTGAGATACCACCTAACTCCAGTCAGAATGGCAATTATCAATAACTCAAAAAATAACAGCTGTTGGAGAGGGTGTGGCGAAAAGGGAACACTCCTACACTGTTGGTGGGAGTGTAAACTAGTGCAACCTCTGTGGAAAGCAGTGTGGCGATTCCTAAAAGCTCTAAACATCAACCTCCCATATGACCCTGCAATCCCGCTACTGGGAATATACCCTGAAGAACTCAAATCACTCTATAAAAAAGAGACCTGCACACGAATGTTTATCGCAGCATTGTTCACAATAGCAAGAACCCAGAACCAACCACGCTGTCCATCAAAAGAGGACTGGATTAAAAAAATGTGGCACATATACACAATGGAATACTATGCAGCCATAAAAAAGAACAAAATCATGAATTTCGCAGCAACCTGGATGGAGCTAGTGTCTATAATACTGAGTGACCTCTCACAGAAACAAAGATCTGAGTATCACATATTCTTACTCATATAGTGGAGGTTGATCAACCAATGCACTACCATAAGAAAATGACTGACAGCGGTGGGAAACCATGGGGGGGGTAGGACTAATGGTAGTAAACATCTGTCTGGGGACAGGGAGACACCTGTTATCAACAAGGGGGCCTAAATGAAGCATATCTGTATACCTAACCCTTAACTGTACCCCACAATATCAAAATAAAAAATATTGAGTAAAAAAAAAAAGCACACAATGAGATATTACCTCATATCCATTAGGATCACTACCATCATAAACAGAAAGTGCCGGGCTTGGTGGCTCAGCCTGTAATCCCGCACCTTTGGGAGGCTGAGGTGAGTGGATTGCCTGAGCTCGCAGGTTTGAGACCCGCCTGGGCAAGCAAGACCTCATCTCTACAATAAATCAAAAAAAATTAGCCAAGCGTGGTAGTACGTGCCTGTACTTCCAGTGACTTGGAAGGTTGAGGCGGAAGGATCGCCGGAGCCCAGCAGGTTGAGGCTGCGGTGGCCGGGAGCGGCCACTGCACTCCAGTCTGGGTGACTGAGTGAGACTCCATCTCAAAATAAATAAATAAATAAATAAAAATAAAAATAAGACAGAAAGTAACAAGTATGGTTAGCAAGGATGTGGAGAAATTGGAACCTCTGTGTACTGTTGGTGGGATATAAATGCTCCAACTGTTAGGGAAAACAGTATGAAGGTTCCTGAAAAAAAACTAAGCATAAAACTACATACTGGCCGGGTGTGGTAGTTTATGACTATAATCCCAGCACTTTGGGAGACTCAGGTGAGAGGATTGCCTGAGCCCATGGGTTCAAAACCAGCCTGGGCAACTTAGCAATACCTCATTTCTACAATAAATCAAGAAAAATTAGCTGGGCATGGTGGCACATGCCTATAGTTCCAGCTACTTGGAAGGCTGAGGTGGAAGTATCACCTGAACCCAGCTGTGGTGGCCATGAGCGTGCCACTGCCCTCTAGCCTGGCTGGCAGAGTAAGACTCTGACTCAAAAAAAACCCCCCCAAACTACAAATGATCTAGCAATCCCATTTCTGGGAATATAGACAAGAGAACTGAAAGGAGGCTCTAAGATAGTGCACAGTAGCACTATTCACAATAGCCAAGAGATGGAAGCATCCTAAGTGGTTATTAACAGATGAATGGATAAACACAATGTGAAATATACATACAACAGAATATTCAACCATAAAAAAAAAAAGTTTAAACCAGGTATGGGAGGCCGAGGTAAGAGGATTACCTAAACCCATGGGTTCGAGACCAAGCATGGGCAACTTGGTGAGACCCCATCCCTATACTAAATCAAAAAAATTAGTTAGGCGGGACGGCACGTGCCTGTAGTTCCAGCTTCTTGGAAGGTTGAGGCAGAAGAATCACCTGATCCCAGCAGATCAAGGTTGCGGTGGCTGTGAACGTGCCACTGCACTCCAGCCTGGGTGACAGAGTGAGATTCCGACTTTAAAAAAAAATAAATAAATCATGTCACATGCTACAACGTGGATGAATGTTGAGGGTATTATACTAAGTGAAACAAGCCAGTCAAAAAAACAAATAGCATATGATTCCACTTATATGAGGTATCTAACTTAGTCAAATTTTTAGGCTGGATGTGTGGCTCATGCCTATAATCCCAGCACTTTGGGAGATGGAGGCAAGAGGACTGTCTGAGTCCAGGGGTTCGAGACCAGCCTGGGCAACATGGTAAGACCTTGTTTCTAAAGTAAAGCAAAAATTAGCAGGGTGTGGTAGCACACACCTATAGTTCCATCTACTTGGAAGGCTGAGGCAGAAGGATTGCCTGAGCCCAGCAGGTTGAGGCTGCAATGACTGTGGGCAGTGTGCCACTATACTTTAGCCTAGGCAGCAGAGTGAGACGCTGACTCAAAAAAAAAAAATTTTTTTTTAGAAGCAGAGTAGATTGATGGCTATCAGGGGCTAAAGGAGAGGGGAAAGGGGAATTTATGTAACCAGTATAGAGTTGGGTTTGTAAGATGAAAAAGTTTCAGAGATCTGTTTCACAACAATGTGAATATATTTAACACTACTGAACTTACACTTAAAATGATTAAGATGGTAAATTTTATGTAATGCTTTTGCCACAATAAAAAAAATAACCTTTTAGAAGATATAAGCCAGGTGCAGTGGCTCAGGTCTGTAATTCCAGCAGTTTGGGAGGCAGAGGCTCTGAGGGTTGCCTGAGCCCAGGGGTTCAAGACCAGCCTGAGCAACTTGGTGAGACCTCATCTCTACAATAAAATAAAAAAAATTAGCTGGGCATGGTGGCACGTGCCTATAGTTCCAGCTATTTGGAAGGCTGAGGCAGAAGGACTGCCTTAGCCCAGCAGGTTGAGGCTGTGGTGGCCTTGAACTTGCCATTGCACTCCAGCCTGGGCAACAGCATGAGACTCCTAATCAATAAAAAAAAAGAAGACATACAAATCACAAGATAAATATTAAAATATAAAAGCATTTAAGATCCAGAATATCTTATTACCTGCAACAAATCCAACTACCAGGTCTTTTCCAGTAGTAGAACGTTGACCTTTGACCCAGACTGCTTTGAGGCTATTAAAAGTGTAGAAATAGACAAAATTGGAGCAGCAGAGACTGGAAATAACTGGAAACCACCCTCGATATGGTGCCAGGCTAGGGGAAAAACACAATAAGCAAAGTAAGGATCATGGATAAAAGTCATTAGAAACTGGCAAAGAAGTCCTAGGAAAGGCTGATCATCACTCACATAGTCTCAAGGTTTACTCCCACACTATTACAAGGACTTTAAAACTGTTCACACACCTAACATTCTGAAGGATGTCCAAATCAAGAAATATTTTCAGGCATTAATGATACCAAAGAAACAATATAAAGTCCCTCAGTTTTCTATAGTAGCATTGGTACATAAAATTGAAGACAATTTCATTTCGGCTGTTAGTTAACATAGCACCATTCATGTTTATTCCAGAGCAAGAACATTTAAAATAAAGAAATTATAGAAATTAGGTGTACAGAAAAAATGATCAGTGCATGTCATAAGGGCTCCTACTGGTCAAACCTGGAACAGTTTAAACACCAAAATAATTAAGTAATCAGTTGTAAACCACTGAAAAAATAAGAAATTTCTGATTCTACACCAATAATAAGTAGACAATAAATAAATGAGGGAGAAGAGGAGACTTCTGCTTACAGTAGAATACCAAGACTGGTAAATCTTTTTGCATCTTCATGGTAAATTTAGAGAAGTTTTGATAAGAAGTAGGACATTTGCATTGTCTTAAAGAATCTCCCCACAGTCTGCTTATGGTTACAAGGGAAGAAAAAAACAATTATACAGTGGCTAAATCAAATCCAAGAAATGATAATTAACCAATGAAGGGCAGGTGGACAATATGTGACTCAAGATGTGACACCCGAGGACATAATATCACCTGCACATTATTCTAGCCAAGGATACATAACCTCAATCTAATCATAAAGAATGAGGCAAATTTAAAACAAGAAACATTCTATTTTTTAACAAAAGGGAGGGGGACTACATTCTTTGAAAGTGTCAATGTCATGGGGTAAAAGGCTTTGATGTATGTAATTTATTCTTAAATAATTCTGAAAAAAATGCATGTGTGGTGTGTGTAATAAGGAGAAAAGGGAGGTGGGAAGGAAAGAGCATGAGCACAAATGATAAAATAAACAGGAAAAAATGTCAACAAACATGAATCTGGGCAGAGCATATATTGGTGTACTTTGTACTAATTTTAGTTTTATAAATTTTTGTATATTTGAAATTATTTCCAAATAAAAAGCTTAAAAAAAACTTTGCCGAATGTGCTGAAAGGACCACAGGCCCATCCCAGGCTGGCAAGTGTCGCACCCTGCCTGTGCTTATTTAGGTCTTACCACTAAGCCTCTTTTCTACACAGCCATCCAGACTGAGGAAGATCCAGAAACTTTGGGGTCATGGGAGCCACGGCTATGGCCGCACCAGCTAGTACCAAAAGCACCTGGGAGGCTGTGGTAATATTGGTGGCATGCACCACCACAGGATCAACAACGACAAATATCACCCCAGTTACTTCAGGAAAGTTAGTATGAGGCATTACTGCTTAAAGAGGAACCAGAGCTTCTACCCAATGTCAACCTTGATAAATTGTGGACTCTGGTAACTGAGCAGACACGGGTGAACACTGCTAAAAAGACTGGAGCTGCTCCAATCATTGATGTGGTGTGATTGAGCTACTACTACAAAGTTCCGAGAAAGGGAAAGCTCTCAAAGCAGCCTGTCTTCATGAAGGCCAAATTCCTCAGAAGAGCTGAGTAGAAGATCAAGGGTGTAGGGGAGCCTGTGTCCTGGTAGCTTGAAGCCACACAGAAGTCACACACATGCTAACAAATGCTTTTCAAAAAAAAAGTTAAAAAAAGAAATACATAATCTGTCTGAATGCATCTATCATGAATGAACTTAACAACTATTATGTTCTTCAGTTTACTGTACATAAAACAAAGCATTGGTTTCATGTAAGACTCCATGATCAAGAATCAAATGGCTAACTACAGATCTTTAAGGAACAATTATGTGTTTATAAATTCACAACATTACAAATTCACAACATTATAAAGCTATGAGAATGGATAGAAAGTGAGTGTGGGTGTACTGATAGCACATGAATCTCTTAACAAGTTGCTCTGTTTAACAAAGATGAAATGAGGTAGTACTCACAGGCCTTCTTCTTTAATGATCTCCAGGAGCACCATGTGTGTAGTTTTGGATTTTCTTTTCTCATCAACTACAAGACCAAATAGTAAATGTTTAAACTAAATCCTCTGAATATTATAATCTTCAGCATTAGAAAGTTTCACTGAAATGCCATTTACCTCACCTGAGCAATCTCTCACTCTATTCTTTGAGATCTCAAGTTTGCCTCAGAACTTAATGATCCTCCTGTGTGACCATGTGCTAAATTCTCACTGAAGATCCCTAGGATTTCATCCAATATTCATGAACTATAAAGCATTTTAATTCAATTACTAATTTCCAAAGTAAAAAACGTGACAGGAGAAATTTCTTTCTTTCTTTTTTTTTTTTCTGTTGGAGTCTCACTCTGTCACCCAGACTGGAGTGCAGTGGCCACTCCCAGCCACTGTAGCCTCAACCTACTGGGCTCCGGCGATCCTTCCGCCTCAGCCTTCCAAGCAGCTGGAACTACAGGCGCGTGCTACCACGCCTGGTTAATTTTTTATTTATTTTTTATTTATTGTAGAGATGAGGTCTCACCAAGTTGCCCATATATATATGTTTTCTCACTTTACCACCTTATAAAGTAGAAAGAAAATAAATCACTAGTTTCCTTTTATAGAAGAAGCTACAGACACAAAAGCTGTGAAGGTCATATCTGGTTGACATCAAAGTCAGGATTAAAACTCAAGTTTCCTAGACTGTGTTTTAGACTGTGTTCTGTCTCCTAACCTAAAAAATAAAATGTCTCAAAAGGATGAGAATTGGCTGGGCAGGGGGACTCGTGCTTATAATCCCAGCACTTTGAAAGCTGAGGTGAGAGGACTGCAAGAGCCTATGGGTTCAAGACTAGCCTGGGCAACTTGGTGAGACCACATCTCTACAATAAATCAAAAAAAGTAGCCAGGTGTGGTGGTATGTGCATGTAGTTCCAGCTACTTGGAAGCCTGAGGTGGAAGGATCGCCTGAGCCCAGTAGGTAGAGGCTGCAGTGGCCATGAACGTGCCACTGCCCTACAGCCCTACAGTCTAGGTGACAGTGAGACTCTTACTTAAAAAAAAAAAAGATGAGAACCCGGCATTTTCACTGAAAACAAAACCTCAATTAACTTCCAATTGCCTGCCCACAACTGAAAAATAATTTCAGAACATAACAATGTGAAAATAGTCCGGGTGTGGTGGCTCACACCTATAATCCCAGCACTTTGGGAGGCTGAGGTGAGAGGATTGCCTGAGTTCACGGGTTTGAGACCAGCTTGGGCAACTTGGTGAGACCTCATCTCCATAAAAAAAAAAAAAAAAAAATTAACCAGGCGTGGTAGTGCGTGACTGTAGTTCTGACTACTTGGAAGGCTGAGGCGGAAGGATCACCTGAGCCCAGCAGGTCGAGGCTTCGGTGGCCCTGAGCATGCCACTGCACTCCAGCCTGGGTGACAGAGTGAGACTCCAATTCAAAAAAAAAAAAAATTTACAAACGCATTTACCCTTTGATCCCGTAATCCCACATCTGGGAATTTATCCCATAGAATTTACAGAAACAACATGGCATGTGAACAAAATCTATTCTTACATCATTATCTGTAATAACAAAAGAGTAGAAACAATTCCAGAATCTATAATAGAGGTTAGGATGCATCCACACTATGGAATGCTTTACGGCTATATAACAGGAGAAAGATGCTCCCAATGTGCTAATTTGAAAGACATCCAAAACATACTGTTAAGTAAGAATATTTATTCTTATTTGCTTGTTATTCCATAAAAGAAGTTTGCAGGACAAGTAAAAAACTATTAAATATGTTATCTGCAGTGAAGAGGAAGGGGGACAGGACAGACTATCAGGGGTCCTCAAACTTTTAAAACAGGGGACCAGTTCACTGTCCCTCAGACTGTTGGAGGGGCGGACTA